TACCGATGCCGATGCCCGCACCTCATGAACACCAACACGCGGCTGCCCATGCCAATTGGGTTAACGAGCGGTACCCGTATGGACCCATGATGCAGCCTCCGGCACCATATGTGGAGCACCAGAAGGCTGTTACTATTCGAAACGATGTTAATTTGAAGAAGGAAACTTTAAGGATCGAGCCCGACGAGGAGAACCCTGGAAAGTTCCTCGTTGCTTTCACTTTTGACGCCACAGTAGCTGGAAGGTACGATAACATTTATTTTGTATTTTCTTCACCCGGGTTTAGTTTTTGAGGGTTTATGGTCGTATTGGAAGACGAGAATTGAGATTTGATTAAAGAATTGGATAACCACTAGAACAAATTTGACAAGTCGATTTTAATATATATAAGAAATTCGACTTCTTGTAATGTTTTCCTTGAGACATTTATGAAAATGACTTCAGGAATTCACTCCTGATATTCGACTGCAAAATTTGTTGATATTGGTTTTTCCATTGGAGAATAGTTTCGAAGAACTCAAAACGACACAAATCTTAAAAGTGCCTTCTTTAATGCTTTTATTATTTCCTTTTGAGGTAAGAGGGTTATGAATGATATAGTGCAGATTCAGTTTTTGCAATTGTTTATTTGTTGGGTACATTGGCTACAACCGTTTCTTTGTGAGCCGAGGCTGAGAATAATTGTGATTTGGACTCATTATGCTTTTAATCTGTCTTTGGCAAGTTCATGATTTATTCACGTAACTGAGTCTGAAGCAATAGGTCCTTGACTCCTTGTAACCAATCGAAAGGAATGGCAATGAAGATAATTTAGGTATAGGCAGTTCTTTTCTCGTGTGTGCATTATAGCTCACATTAACTTAGATTCATGTAGAAAAAGATTTATGATTAAAGATTTCCAATTTAACATTTTGGAAACTTAGGCCTGATATTTACCTCCAAAAAATCGAAAGTAGTTTTTATGTTTTTTTTCTATCTTGTTTTTGGATTCTCTTACAGAGGACAGCGATCATTTCTTGAGTTTCGTTTTTCTTGTAATATGCAGCATGACCATAGTTTTCTTTGCTAAGGAGGGTGAAGATTGTTGCCTGACTCCAACGAAAGAAAGCTTACTTCCACCTATTACAATACATTTTCAACAAGGTTTGGTACAGAAGTTTAAACAACCCTCTGGAACCGGGATAGACCTTTCAATGTTCGAGGGGGCAGAATTGTCGACAGTTGGTGACATCGACGTGTACCCTCTAGCAGTTAAGACTGAGGCTTCCATAGATAACGAAAATGGAAACCTAGACAATGGATCCAAGAATTCCCAAATGACCCAAGCCGTGTTTGAGAAGGAGAAAGGTGAATATCAGGTTAGGGTGGTGAAGCAAATATTATGGGTTAATGGCATGAGATATGAACTACAAGAGATTTATGGGATTGGAAATTCAGTTGAGAGTGATTTTGATGGGAATGATCCTGGAAAAGAATGTGTCATATGCCTTTCAGAACCCCGAGACACGACTGTCCTGCCTTGTCGACATATGGTACTTTTCCTCTCTCTCTCATACACATACCATGGCATAGATACCTGTGTGCACTTCAAATTGTCAGTTTTTGGCAGTTTTTCTTGTATTGGCACGATCATTTGAGATAGGGATGGCAACGGAACGGGGCGGGGCGGGGGAGGGGGCCCTCCCCAACCCCCACCCCGTTACCCGTTTAAGGCGGGGCGGGGGTAGGTCCTTTCCCCTTTTATTCCCCGTTTAAAATTTTTTTTTTGTTTTTGTTTTTGATAATTTATTTTTATTGCTCATATTTATTAGATTTAGACAAATAATTTTAGTTGTTATTTTCTATTAGAACTAATGAAAATTTTCATTTAAAGTATTGAATTCTAAAAAAAAAAAATTAGCGGGGCGAGGACCCTGTTATACGTCCCCACCCCGAACCTGCCTCAGGGCAAAATTCTCCGCCCCGTTACCCGTTTAAGCGGGTTTTCCCCACCCTGAACGGGGCAGGGTCTCGCGGGTATCGGATTTGTCGGGTTTTTTTGCCATCCCTAATTTGAGAGTAGGTTGGTAATTGGTAGCTTGTGAAATGCATGCATAATTCTTGTCACTTCTCTTGATGCAGTGTATGTGCAGCGAATGTGCAAAAGTATTGAGGTTCCAAACAAATAGGTGCCCAATTTGCAGACAACCAGTTGAGCGGCTTTTGGAGATCAAGGTTAACAATGGGACTGATGAATGAAGAGGATTAGCTTCTGCTCTGTGCTACAAAGTTTTTACTTCTTTTGTGTGTTCTTGTTTGCCCTTTTCTATAACGTGTCCTGCCCTTGGTTCGTAGACTTCAATAATCAGATTCGATATCTCAATGGTATGCAATGTGTCTAAAACATACCATTGATCTAGTTCATGAAACTGGATATGCTGTAGGCGAATTCCTTGATATGATTTTGGGGAGTGCTTTGTGACATTTCTTCTTGCTCACAATTGTTCGATACGAGATGTATAGAACGTTTGGCTTGCTTTCAATTACTGGTTCAAGTTATGTTATTATTCTTTTGATTTCTTGTATATGCATGCATGACACCTTACCTTTGGACTCTTGTCTCTCCTAAAAAAATTATGAAAAATCTGTCATCATGCAGTTCACAATGATGTCCTTTGTTTTGATGGCGAAATGCCTATTTGTCCCCACCCCTTTGTTTTCTTATTTCGTGTGAAGTAGAGAATATACTTTGTTTGATGAGACAAAATTGGGTGGAGATAAAAAGTAGAGGTTATCATCATATTTGGGAAAAATTATAGAAAAAGGACCATTTTAAATGCCAAATTGACCAACCCAATTCAATGTTTGCTAAAAACTAGGGGTATGTTCTCTTTACCATTTTGAAATCGTTTTTTGCTTTCGATTTTTTAAAACAGCGAAAATGTGTTCTCTTTCCTATTTTCGAAAACGAGTTTTTGAAAACAAGTTAAAAATTTACAAAGAAAATCAATAACGACAAGGTGTTTTTAGTTATAATTAAGTCAAAATTTTCAAAATGTATTTTTTTGGTGTTTTCAAAACAATTTTTTAAAATGTCAAAAAGAACACATTTTCAACAATATTAAAATTGACACTCAAAACACAAAACTTAAAATGAATGCAAAATTCAAAACACAAAGAGAACAACTCATAGATTTTCAGCGGATTTTGATAAAAAATAATGAATATGTATTTTTGAAAAGTTGATAAAAGATGTAGTTTTAATAAAATGTAAGCTAAAATTAATTACTGATTTTGACTTAAATTTCTATCAAAATTTTTAATTTAATTTAAATAAAAAGTTCTCTTTCATTTGCACCAACTTGGTTTCCTCTCCTCCAAATCCAATGCATCAATTCGAGTATAATTTGTCCACAAACCAAATGAAGGTTAGAAGCAACGTTGGTGGTGTCTGTCTATTCATAATCAAATTGTCAATCGTGGCTTCCAATGTTTGATGGCTACAAAAATTCCACTTATGCTTTGCTTCTTACTTTAGCAAAATTGGATTTATTTGAGTGTCTCACTTTCACTTTGTTGTGTGGAAATTAATGCAAAAAGGGGTCTCAAATATTATTCTATTACTCGCAAATTTTTAAATTTTAGATAATTACTATCAACAATTAAATATAAATCTTTGTTATTTACATGCCAACAATAAACAGGGTCGGCCCTGAGAATTTGGATGCTTTAGGCGATTTTATTTTGAGGCCCTCAAACATAATTTTTTTTAAATAATCGTAACACTTCTTAAATATTTGAACAAATAATATTTCTATATTAAAACGAATATTTCATGCAATTCAAAAGAGAGTAGCAAAATAAAATCCATCTTACAACTCGAGATATTAGACTAATATAATATTTAACATTATCACATTTTGAGATGCAAAGGGAATAGGTACACACATTTGAGTTGTTCGTTGAGGAATTAGTTATAAGAATGCAAATGTAAAATTCATAAATTAAATTAAATATTTCTTACTAACATAGAGAATATATAAAATTTTTTATCTCTTCCTATTTTCTGTACCGTGAAGTAATAAAATATGGGCAATTTTGTGGTTGAAAGAAAATTGTTCCTTTTTTCGATTTCCTTTGTCAAATTGGTATATTTCATAATTAACAAAAATGCAAAAGTAAACTAATTTAATGATGCCAGAGCTACTCAAATTTGGGTCTGAGCTTTGTTTGGAAGATATTATTTGGAATGATCATAAAAAAAATCCAAAATTAGAGGCAACATTGTCGGATTTAATATCAAAATTTTTAAGAATAACCTCTTTTATCAGGGTGCGTTTGAACCGCATTGTTTTGAAATAATGTATTTTGAAATAGTAAATTACTAAATTGATGGAGAATGTTTCGTTGAAAAATAATGAAAAGTTATTGATGTGATGAAAAATATTATTTTAATGAAAAATATATGGTTGAAAATGAGTAGAAGAATGAAAATGTAAATTTTAATGTGGCTCAAACAGATTTCAATCAATTATTACTCTACTTTTTTCTTTTTTCTTTTTCTCTCTCCTTTTTTTTTTTTTTTTAACTCTCTTATTTTTTTTTTTTTTTCTCTCTCCTTTTTTTTTTTTTTTTTGGTATTTTGCTTCATTTTTGCCTTTGAATTGTATGATAATGGAAACAATTTTCTGCAGAAGCTTCAATCAACAAAGCAAAATTTGTCATGTAACAGACACAAGAAAGAAAAAAAAAAAAATTTCAAATGCACAACTTCACTTCAATTATTTTGTCAAGTTTCTACTTACAAAGTGATTGTGCGTTCTTTCTCAAGTTCATGGTGCCTCCAATCGCGTTGTCAAACCTGGCTATACAACGAACTTCGTCAATTAATCTTGTCGCATATGAGTCGACATCATGATTCTGAGAAAACCTTGCTAAGATAGGTAAATGGCAACAGCAGCATCAATCAATCGATTCACTCTCACAAAATCGTGCTTCTGCAGTCTTCTGTGATCGTACCATTATTGTTTGTAGGTAGAACCGATAACTTTCCCTGATATTGAAGGTTTTTCCTTCAGGCTTGTACTCAACAGAGAATCAGAATTGCTTGACTGACTTTCAGCAAAACCGGGTCTCATCCAAATCTTTATGTGTCCCTCTCGGGATATGGTAAGAATGGACTCCTGAGTGAATATCAAACCAGAGAGAGGTTCTGTGTGAATACGATGAGCAACCAGTGGAGAAAGCTTTGGAACATCTCGCATGCTTGGAGCAGGTCGTAAGGTACCCACGGGGCAAGCGCCATCCCAATGAGATGATTGGCTCCCGGTACTGAAAGTGGGAGATCCAACAGAAGGGCGACGAACTGGCACTACAAGCTCATCCATTTCCAGATCCCATAAAAGCAATCGTGTGTCCTGCGTGACATCCACAAGTTCTTGAACGGTGTGATGCCAATATATTGTAAAAAGAAGGCAATCTAGGAAAAGTAGACCAGAAAAATGTAGAATTACCGAATTAAGTCCGAGTATAAAAATTGAAGCGGAGGCAAAAGGCTACAAGAGAAGTAATAGTAATCCCAGTAAACATCCAGCTGATGTTTGTTACCTCTAAGGTGTTAAAATCCATGATGTTTCATCATCATGTCAGAAACGAGGAAACTAACAGGTTGGCAGACTTAAAAGTAAAGCCTAATAATTGCTTTATAAGCAGGATGAATGACTTCTCATTCGAAGTAAATGAACAATCGAGTACTCGAGGAGCCACAACATAGACAGATGTATATGATTTCAATTGAAAAACGATCCACTTCATTAACTGAACTAGTAATAATGTTGAGATACCTGACCAACAGAACCAAACCGATATACGACATTTTCCCCAGTGCCATCTGAATTTGGCGCTGACCAATATGAATCAAATGCCACTCCACTAACCTGCCATAATCCAGTAAAAGAAGAGCAGGCAATCATGATTGCTAGATGAGAAACTAAGCAGAAAAATCAATAATCTGTATAACTTGGACCCTAGTATGCGTATCCAGTAGAGCAATGTGTTTGAATTCATATTTATCAAACCTCTAATTGCGAGATATTTGAAAATAGAAAGATATTAATCCCACCTTTAATTTTGCAGGAATTTTGTGACAAATGAAAAAGTGCATATTGGCTGTTTCTCGTCGCTTTGAATATCAAATATATTGGCCAATTAGCTATAGGAGCCACATCAAGTACTTGATTTTGGAAACGAAATGCCTAATTTCACAAAAAGGTCATAATATGTAGATGTTCCAAAAGAAATCCCCAAGTTTAAGGCATATGAAAAAATATCAAATACACGTCCCATATTCAAGTCCAAGTATCAGGTGAAATTTGGAAGAATCACATAATATAGCTATTAACGGCTAGATACTCACCCACGAGTTATGTCCCTCACCCCATGCAACAACCTTTCGATCTTCCATGCTCCAAACTTGAACTAGGTCATCCTCACCTCCAGTCAGAATATATTTTCCATCCATGCTGTTGTTTTACTTGCCATCAGTTACTCCATTCTCATATAATATGACTACTAACAATATGCTTAAAGGAACAATAGCTTTCAAAAGGATACCAATTAATGCAGAGACTAAGAATAAATTTGAACACCATACATAATCCTCAGAAAACCGAGTATACTCACCTCCAAGCACAACATAATAAAGCACCATAATAGCCCTTTCCGCCACATATTAATTGTTCATTTTTGTAGTCAAACACTCGCAGATAACCTACATTCATCAATTCCCCTCATCCTATAAATTGCTGATGGAGATGAGGAACGAGAAAGGGGGGAAAAAAGGACGATAAAGAAAGAAATAAAAGACACAAGATGTTAACAATACCATCCCTTCCTACAGTTGCCATGAAGACCCCATCAGTTGAAAAGGCGACGCTATTTATTGAACCTTGGCAAATATGCCATCGAGCAACTGGATTCTGTGTGAATTAATTCAAAGAAAGCATTAGAGCAAAATACCACGTAAAGAGATATATGTCATACATTAACATCAAACAACCATGAGCAAACCCAATGGTAGCATTTGCCTCCATTAATAAGATCATTCTTGGCAATGAATTAAAAAAAAAAAAAACAATGAATAAATTACAACTGTAGTGGAGTCTAAGAGTAGCATTCATTATGTTCTCAAATTCTATCACCAGTGTATAAAGCCGAATATACAAGTTCTAGTGAATGTGGTTTTTCACAGCCCAAATGACAAAACCAAGTGTATCAACAGATTCCCTATACAATAACAAACTGTTGTTCCCAATAAATTTGAGTGGGCTAAATGAATACTTTCACCACTATGGTTAATTGTTAGAACTAAAATTAATCTTTAGCCAAATATGCAAAAAAGAAGAATAGAAATTACTCCTCAAATACCCTTTTATGTGCATTTTTCCTTCTTCAATCTTTAGCCATGTCATTGATTAACTGATGATACACAACAGGATGCATAATCCACCATCCGAGGTATAGTGCTCAGCCTATCATATTATTTATATTGAGAATACACATTACAGCACTAATCCTACAACCAAACATGTTGACATTGAAAAATTGTTTGCATAAAAATAAACCACTTGCCAGTAAAAAATTTCCAGTCTTCCTAAAACCAAAGAAAAACACTGATGATCTAAATTTCAGCTAATAACACCGAGGAGAAAAATCAATAATTGAGTTTTCATAATTAAAGAGAGAATGATAATACTGAAAAAGAGGTCCAACAATTTGCAGTCAGTTATGCAAACTTTTCTTTAAAGCAAAGATATCTTTATTATCGTATTCAAACAAGGTGGTGCAGCAAACTCATTGACCATAAAGAGTAAAAAGTGCCAAGCAGTAAGGAGATACAAAAAGGATAAAAAGAAAAGAAAGACGAAACACAATGAGCCCCAACTGTCGAGAGGTCCAAAGCAGTATCTGACCCCATTATCACAATAATAGGCTCAAAATCCATCAAATTCCTCCAAGTATAACCACTCCAGCCTTTCAATTCAGTTCAAACAAAAGGCAACACCTGTTTACCAGAGAATCACATGACCTTAAACCTATGACGGGGACACATTTAAACAACACCGACAATATTATGTTCTCTCCTTAAACTAGATAAAAAGCCATCTTACTAATAAGATAAAGTTAGCGATCCAGTCGATTTAATTTTTGAGAAAAGAAAGATTCCACAACAAGGGACCAAACAATAAGTGGTACCTTACTGTAGCGGGCATGTGCTACTGAAAATTGAGTTTGATCCTTGATAACAGGGAATGAAGGATCTCCAGAACCATCTTTGCTCTGAAATTAATTACAGGACGTATTGGTTTCCTCTGAACTTAGGAAATTAAGAGAAATATATCGATTCATATCAAATAAACTTGAACTTGCCTTTTCATATACATACATATTTCCATCCGCATGGCCAACTATAAATGTTCCATCACCATTAGGAACCCATGTGATGCAAGTACAGCGGCTGTTGTAAGAAACATAATATGTAGTCAGACAAAAAACAATAGACATCACTAGAGAGATCTCAATATATTCCATAGTAAAGAATGGGTAAAATCAGTTGTAAGCCTTAAATTTCATAAGCTTACACACACCTCTTATGCTCAATTGGTATTTAAATTGGTAAACAGAACAAGGTAGTGGTCTTTCACCCCAACCCCCCACCCCAAAGTTAAAAAAAAAACTACCATCCCCCGGAAATCATTTTTTAAATTTCAGAAACGTAACGATTCAAATAGGTGTTTACACATTAGCTTCCTAACAGAAGATGCACAATAAACTAATTGATAATGCTTCACCGCATACAATTGGAATTTCAGCAGTAAGCTTGTCAGTCATTTGAGGCTTCCAACTTAAGACATCATGCTGGACACTTAAAGCACAGTTCAGCAATGTCACAGCTGAATAATTGGACAGTGCTTGAGAAAGCAGCAGTGTTTCTGACCGCTAATGCCAAGCTAAGAAGCACCAATTCAGATACATAATTCGAATACGAAACGATAAGAGGATACCGATACAGCCTTTTTAGAAAAAAAAAAAAAGATACGATGATACGTGTATTATAAGTTTTAATACCATTATCTATTTCCAATAATAAAATTATAGTTGTCATTTATTAACACAAATTACATGTATTAAAAGTTTTAATACTACCACCTATTTCCAATAGTTGTCAACTATTAACACGATTTTGTATGTATTAAGAGATTTAATACTATTTTCTATTTTCATTAATAAAACTCTAGTTTCCAATTAATTTAAATTCTTGCTGTCAATTATTTAATAATGTATCTATTTTCAATAATAAGTATGAACTATGTAGTCATCTATTATCCTAAAACATGTTTACCTTTTTTTTTTAAATTTAATTAATAAATATTACATATTTTCAATAAGTTATTAATAACAACACTAGTCATCTATTAAATAAAAAACTTTAGAATATTCCCAAATAAAAAAGAGTTTAAAACCAATAAAACTCTTCTTATCATTACTTGTCAGCACGTATTGAAAATATAAAAAAAAATTCAGAAACACATATATGGTACGTATTAGAGCGTGTCAAAGTTTATAAGTATCCGTGCTTCTTAGATGCCAAGTGTCGAGGCACTACAGTGGTCCTAATGAAAGCCAGCAAACCATCCTACTACCCTCCATTGAGAAACAGCAACACAATGAAGTAAATCTATTTAAAGTGTTTACAGAAGTGTTGAAAATCTCAACTCAATGGCCAAGCCTGTTTATTTGCCTCCGTTAATTCTTGTCTAGCTATTGCTTGAGATAACAGAATCCAGGCTGGACTAGGGTAAAAGTTTGCGCCAAAATATTGATTTGGCCAAGCTCAGTCCACTACAAGTGCAGTTCAATTACAATAACCAACTCCATTGAACTTAGGGTATAAATATAAGTGCATAAATATTGACCTTTTTTGGTAAGTCAAAAGAAAAATAGAATCTTAAGATATATATATATATATATATATAGCTGTTTGGTGTATATTAAAATCAGGTTTTTAGTATAAAGCTTGTTTGCGCCCCATTCTTTTTTCCCAAAAATACATTTTGGAATAGTAATTTGATGGAGAATGTGTAGTTAAAAAATAAGACTTTTTTTTATTAGCGTGTAATATTATTTTATTAAAAATGTGTAATTGAAAATAAGAGAGAGCAAAATGTATTTTGAAGATAGTGAGAACCAAACAACGGCATATTTTGACAAAAATTGTTGAAATATTTGGTTGAAAAGTTGTAGGTCTCTTAAAATGTATGGTTAAAATTAATTGTTGACTTTGACTCGAAATTATTAGTCGATTTTAATCTATATCAATAAGCTCTATTTTTTTTATTTTTTTATATATAACTTATTTCAAATCAAAATAACTTACTCATACAATGTAAGGGAACTTGTGCATCTAACCCCGAACAATTCATAACGAGAATGAGAGAAACTCAATGTGGAACGAAGAGTGTTTCATTTTAAGATGGAAATCTTCATAAAAGAAGTTCAAAATATAAATGCCAGATGCCAGTATTCATATTCAAAATTATACTCAATTGAGTCAATTCCAGTGCCACAGAGGAGAAAGATAGTACACTGGAGATTATACATAGATTTAGGTAAAATCTCCCAATGCCCCAAATATTGCAATGCAACCACAGTAACACAGAATCCAGTGTTGTACTGGGATCAATCCCCATCTTATGATAAACAAAAGATAAACTATCCACACACTTCCTGCTCAATTTACAAGGGAGAAACATTTAAGAGGAAGTCTCACACCATTGCTTCGAGAATTGCATCAAACAAACACAACAACAAAGAGCTCTTTAACACTTCATCATTGTAATAATGTTATAATATCAATGTTAAGAAAAATTGTAGTGTAGGAAAAGGAATTGATCTAAAAGAGACATTCAGATGTTCAGATTTCTTTTTTTGCAGTAAAAAAATAACGGGAATATTCAACAATGCGAAATTGTCTTAATATACAGAAGTATCCTTATATGCTACAACCGGGCTTTGTAAGGTCTTAAAGAAAGATTTAGCAACCACTGAATACTTCATCCAACCAAATAGATGTTAAAAAATAATTAGAAGAGTCCTATTTAACTAATTATGACCAAATAAAAAAGAGTCCATTTCATTCTGAATTCAGAATGCAGCAATTGTTATTCTTGGTAAACTCAATGTGATGTGTTCTCTAATTATATCTAGACTCAAATGTTGTATTCTTAGGCCCTCATTTCTGTGCATTGTCACCTTAATTTAGAGAAAATCATTCCATGATAAAAATGCACATGGAAGCGCCATCTTATATTGACTTCCATCATTGCAACTTCAATCACTTCTATCAGTATATTCAAATTAAATTTTATCATTTTCCTTGGCACATCTGACTGGATACTCGTTTGAGATGCTGTCAATTCAGAAATTTGCAGCTTTTTGAACATCTAATTAGATACCAATCTGAGAAAGAAAAAACTGGAATTGCAGGTGAAGTCTTCGATAACGATAAATGTATTCATATTTAGAAGAGATGCAGATATGGATGCCGAGGTGACACTTCAACTATAAAAGACTATGAGGCCATACCCTGTATATTAATCAATAATTAAACTGGCAGTAATAAATGCTCAAACCGACAACTAAAGGAAGAATAAATAACAAAAAGTAAAGATAACAAAATGATTCAGTTCAAGCAGCTGCAATTGTTAATTAGATATATGTATAGCATATAGTCAATCTGAACAAAGAAACTTTCATGCGTGTGTGTGTGTGTGTGTTTTTTCTTCTCTTCTTTTTTATTTTCTTGGTGTTTTCCTTGACTTTTCAGCATCAAACAAGCAATCTCCGCATTGCCAACATTTTTATTTGAAAACTAAATTGAAATGGCAAACCTTTTTAGTATCACATATGATTAAAACATTGCAAAGATTATAGGGGCCAAGAACCTATAAGAATTGGAAACATGCTTCATAGCGGGGCAATAAATCAATTAACTTAAAGATTGTCTATACATAACAAGAAATTCAATACACGTTATGGAGCTACATATATGTAAAATCCATAAAGATTTTGGGGGAGAGCACAATGCAAACAACAGAGTCCAGCACTTGCCTGGTGTTAATGGAACCATCTTTATTATAATGCTGAGCCCCAACAAGCTTCTTCCCTACTTCCTGTAATTGCTGTCTTAGAGCCACAGAGTAAACTACAGAACCCAGAAAACAAATTTCATTTAATGAAAACAGAGAACTACTTATACAAGACCATTTTAAAACTCTAAAAAGAAGGCTTACCATCTCCAGTGTTTAAACCAATAAGTAAATCATGCCCGTCCTTTGCATCAGGGTCAAATGCGTGGCAAACAGGATTCGAATTACCAAAATGTATAGACTTAATAGGATCCTATGAAGAATAACAGACATCTCAAAACCAATCCATAGTGAATCTCATAATAAAAGACAAAGCATATGATATAACCACTAGTACCTTATCCTGAGAATTTAAGTCACTAATGAAAATTGCATCACCAACATTGAACACCAAGTAAGTCCCTTTGCCATCAAAATTTGAACTGCCAACCACATTATTTGAACTTGAAGCCCCTAATGATCCAATTCTACTGCTGGCACCAGTCACTGACTTACTCCCACCATTCCCTCCAACAAAACTAAGTGCCCTACTCCCATTTCCACCACCCAAGAACCTTGCTGCCGCTGACCTCACACCACTGTTTACACCCAAACTTGAAGATGACTGTGATTGTGTCTGCACAGGCTTATCCTTGAGATGGGCTAGCGTTACCTGACCATCAATTAACCGAAATCACTTTAAAGTCTGTTCAAGTTTTGAATTTCCGAAACTGTTCTTCTGAGGAAAATAAACAAGCCATGCTTAGGAGAGATGGGGGAAGAACAATAATTGAAATCTTTATCTGCTATGTTTGAACTAAATTATTGATATCGCAAATGAGTTTCAGAAGAAGACTTAAATCACAAGAATTACATTAAAGCTTAAAATAAACCCAAATTAAAAGTAAAAAATTACCAAAACAACTTAACAAGTCAACCACAAGTTCTCTTATTAGTGTGATTATTTGCATATTTTACTTAAATGGAATGAATTATCATTCAGTATGTGAAGCCAAATAATAATTCTTTGACTAAATAACTCTTCTACTTAGCCTTGATCAAGGAGCCAAAGTCAAAATCTTTGTTCACTAGAAGAACGTCTGACCCTGTTTGGCCTCCATTCTTTGTCATTATTAGATATTATAATTTTTGGAATATGTTTTTTTTTTTTTTTTAAGAATGTGTGGTTAAAAAAGAAGAAATTTTTTTAGGTTTACCATTAATATTATTCTATTGGAGAATGTATGATCTAGAGAGAAAAATGGATTATAATTTTAATGGCGTCAATCGGTGGCTGATTAATCAGAGAACCTGAAACCCAAAAACCCGTTTCAAACAAAACCTCAAATAAAAATTAACAAATAGTTATCACTGTAGGCTGGAAAAAGTTAGAATTAACCAATGGTCCACTCGGAGAACCCAATCTCTAAAACCTAATGCCACCAAATTACAGTAACTATGAAGATTCTCGGAACTCAAGTTTGCAATAAGCTAATCTGAAGATGTAATTGAAAAACCCACAATAAAAAAAAAAATTTGGAAAACCCTAGAACGTGAGGAGAAATCGACCAACCTGAGTGACCGTTTTGCCGTGGCCATAGTGAAGAAGGCCAGAAGGGTGAGTCTTTTCATACTGGAGTTTGTACTTGCCTTCTGGAGTCTTGAAATACGTCTTCAAACCAGGCGACTGCGCGTTACTTCCAGACGCTGACGCCGAAGACATCATACTATTACTCCCCGCTGTATTCATCATCTTCCTTTCACCAAGAAATCAACTCCCCAAATAAAAATATCAATACTACAACAGGATACTGTATTCCAATTGAGTTTCTTCTTTTTCTTTCTGGGTGGGCCTTTTGGACAGAAGAGTTAATGCAGTTTTGAAACTCTGTCTGCGTGGATCAAGGGCTTGTCAGTCTGGTGTATCTTGAACTTCTAGGTGAAACTTTTGGATCGAAGGTTTATTGTTTTTCTTGGATCGAATTGTCAATTATGTTTGTTTTCTTTGCTTTTCTCTTGCTTTTGAGACCGGTTGAATCTTGAATTAGAGGGCCTAGAGATTATTCATAGGGTGGATTAAATAAGATCGGAAAGTGTCGTTAACTATAAAATATAGAGAGAGAAACTCTTGTTATATACTTTGGACTTTTGGCTTTTGGGAGCTTCTAAGGAAAAATCAAATATTCATCGTGCCGTCCTGTGAAATATGTTCGAAGAATAGTTGAGTTCCTCCTTATTTATTTCGAAAATAAAGTGTTTATTTATAAAATCATACATTTTTGTGAAAGTGAGTACGGTTCAAATAGAACTAAGTTCGATCTTATTTATTTTTTAAATAAGTAAACTAAGTACATGCAAATAAATTCAAAAAAAAATTGATTACAACGGTCAAAATACAAGTGGAAACGAAATGATGCACGAGCTGCTGATATAGAATTCTGGCGTGTCTTGACCAGCTATTGGCACCATACTAATCAAGCTCCACACGCGCCATTCCTTTATAATGTCGGCCAAGGTTTGGCTAGCTAGTTCGAGTTCGGTTTGTCTAGTGCAATGATCTATGGCTCTTGATATGCATTTTCTATCTCCAATTCAATATCGACACAACATTTTGTTGATATTTTTTTTCTTTAGAATTAGATCCTAAATAATTTAAAACGTGTACTACAAACTCTAATGGCTAGGAGTCGAGAGCAATCGGGTGAACAATTTTGACAATAGAATCAACCAATATATGAAAAGATAATCCCCAAACGATATGGGATGACGGATGCATGCTATATAGAATATATTCATGTATTGAATATGATAAAATGTGGGTTATTGGCGCAAAACGTCCCTACCTATGACGGGTTGTATGGAAAACGTCCATACGTTTGATTTTTTGGTGCAGAACGTCCCTACCTATGCATTTTCTTGCGCAAAACGTCATTTTCCCTAATTTTTAACTTAAAATGACCTATATACCCTCCAATTGAAATAAAAGGAAAAGGAAAAGGAAAAAAATAAAGAATAAATTATAATTTGCTCATAAACTTTTTTAAAATGTAAATCAGTCTAAAACTTATGAATACATTTGCAATTAAAACATTGAATAATAAAAAAAAAAGTAAAAATTAAATTAAAAAAAAAAACAAAAACCCACACAGTACACACTCTCTCTCTTCTCAGCCAACAACAGCGTTGGCTCTGTGCCGGCACCACCGCCACCATCAGCCAACAACGGTGCCGGCACCGGCACCACCGCCACCACCATCTTAAAATCCAACCAAAATCCTCAACAGAGAAAAATCTGGCCATCCACTACCATCATAATCAAAACCAGGAAAGAATGCATTAGCTTCAACAGAGACAATATAATCAAGAGCATCCTAGAGCAAGCGATGTGCTTGCTCCCGTAAATCAATCGGCGAAGCATCCCAGAGCAAGCGATGTGCAGCCTGGAGAAGGATATAATAGCCAGAAAAAAGTTTAATTTTCTTCATTATAATACAAAACTTACACCTTGGATCCATTTATGTTCTGTTTGAATTCAATTTTGCGAAAAAGTTTTTCGATTTACATAAACAAGATAAAAAGTTGACTGAAAACATCAATTCAATTTAATCATTTTCCATAAGAAGAAGAAGATATGACACCCAAAATTTCTAGCTATTGATATTTACAGAGCTCAAAGTCGATTGAAGATTCGGCAAGAAAGCACTGTCTATACCCACCTTCCTCCGTCGACATCACCATCCATTTCCGAGAACCCACTTCGATTTCGCCATGCCCATGTTCCTCAAAATTGCTGAGTACGGCGCCGGCATCGTCTTCTTGGGCGTGCAGTGAGTGAGTTTGAAATCGTGAGTGAGCTTATGTTGGAAGTGTTGGTTTTGGGAATGACGTCGACAGCACCATCCATTTCCGAGAACCCACTTCGATTTCGCCATGCCCATGTTCCTCAAAATTGCTGAGTACGGCGCCGGCAGCGTCTTCTTGGGCGTGCAGTGAGTGAGGTTTGAAATCGTGAGTGAGCTTGTGTTGGAAGTGTTGGTTTTGGGAATGGATGTGGGGCAATCGAGGCCGGAGAATCCAGCGATGACGTTTGATGCGGTGTCCAATTGAGGATTTTGGTTGGATTTTGAGGGAGAAATCTCCCCTAATTACTGCAAAATTGGGAGGGAGAGGGGGATTTTCTATTGATTTTGCGAATTTAGGGGAATGTGGTGGTTGTGGATGGGTAAATTGCATACGGACTGCGGTGAGATGGTGGTGTCGGTGCCGGCACCGTTGTTTGCTGACGGTGGCGGTGGTGCCGGCACAGAGCCGACACTTTGTTGGCTGAGAAGAGAGAGAGTGTTTGCTGTGTGGGTTTTTAGTTTTTTTTTAAATTTAATTTTTACTTTTTTTTTATTATTCAATGTTTTAATTGTAAATGTATTCATAAGTTTGGACTGATTTACATTTTAAAAAAGTTTAGGAGCAAATTGTAATTTATTCTTTATTTTTTTTTCTTTTCCTTTTCCTTTTATTTCAATTGGAGGGTATATATGTCATTTTAAGTTAAAAATTAGGGAAAATGACGTTTTGCGCAAGAAAATGCATAGGTAGGGACGTTCTGCACCAAAAAATCAAACGTAGGGACGTTTCCCACACAACCCGTCATAGGTAGGGACGTTTTGCGCCAATAACCCATAAAATGTAGATTCCACTCCAAAAATCCTCAAGATGCATTGATCGTTTGTGTGATTAATGATCGGGGATCAAAGTATTGAAAACATGGTCACCATGCAATGGAAAACATTCTAGAAATTATTTAGAGATCGAGAGGTTACCATTGATGTCCATCATCGAAAAAAATAAATATATTTAATTTTGATATGGAGATCTCTTACAGAAAAGTTTAACACGTGGTTAATGCCAAATGTTGTATGGCTTTTAAAAGGACTCCAAAGCCAGTTGAACGTCTGAATTGATATATTAAATTCGACGCATCGAAAGTATTTTTTTTATAATAATTAAACAGACTCTGTAAGTTGATTAAGAAATGACATAAAAATTTGAGTTTTTTTACCTAGGAAAATGTAAATGTAAATGGATATGCTGCATTTGAGGAAAATACTCAAATTCCTTTGAACTATGCCAAGAACAAGCTAAAACATAGTATTGGGAATTGGTAAAAACTGCAATGTCCTAAATCTGGTTATACTCTACCAAGGAGGATGTTCCAACTGTGAACAATAAAAAAGTACCAAATATGTCATTAGATACTACTGAAAAATGGTTTCAAATGCAGTTGTAAATCTTGATTGGCTTCAGCGAAACATATGATATTTACATTGGGGACATTTTTCTCCCATTCTTTTTCGGAGAATTTAAGTTTACAATTTTTTTGGTCGAACCCAGTGTCATTTGCTTGAATTGAGACATGCACTATTCAAAGTCCGGCATGAGCTTATCAAACCACGTGCTTGGCGTCTCCAAAATCACCTCCGAATGAGAAGGTAAACTAAACTAGACTTTGTATAACAATCGATAGCAGCTGCAGAACGAAACTAGCTTGGTTGATTAACAAGACAATAGAGATGCTATTTGTGTCACATTCCTACACGTGGGCTCTCTTAATTATAAAACAAGCCCTAACCTGGCCCGTATGCAAATAACTGGCCACCAGAGTATTGAACCAAATGTATGGGCTATCAAGAATACAACTCGTTAAAGATAGCTGTAGCGGCCTGTTCATAAGCCCATACTTCGGGCCCAACTGGTTGTGCCTAGTTTTTGAAACATTGCTTTGGTGTTTGCATCCATTGTTTAAAGCATATAACATGTAAGGGGAAAAAAAATCATAATTATCATATTTTAAGACAATTTAAAAGATATCAAACTCGTGGAATTCTTTCAAAAATCAGGTCATAATTCAATATTGTCTTTCCTACACAGGATTTTGCTACCCACGTTGCATTATACATTCATCACCAATATATCACATGATTCATCATGACAAGAGCTTTTGCTTACTCATTGGGTTATATTCTTCATTTTAAATCACAATCCAAAGTAAAATGAAGATAATGTATTGGCAAGAACATTAGACCATAAAAAACTATCTCTTTCGAGGCGTTGCCTATGACTTGGCATGGAATAAGGGTGCGGGGCTCTACATTTTCGTGTTCAAAGCATTGTTTGAGTGAGTAGGCAGTGCCTACCAAAAAAAGCTTTCTTGAAGAGGTCAAACTGATTCTATTAATTTAAATTGAGAATTAATAAAGGATAATTAATTATTATTCTCTCGCGTCGTATCAATATCATTTACTAAATAAAGGCCAATTAGTCGTATTCTTCCAAATGTTGTAAAACATTTCAAAACAATTGTAAAACAATTGTTCCAGTCATGTGTATCGACCTCAATGTTTTCATTTTGTCCGAAAATTGTGATTGTGACCTAATATGTTTGGGTGATTGTAATGATAATCTATAGTTTCAAGTCTGCATATAGATTTGAAGAGTATGACCTAAGACATATATTTTGAAAATTGTCGTTCTGTGCAAAGATTGTCATTATGTTATGTGATTGTAACCTGATATATTCGTAACACATCACGTGACAATGACATTCTATGTTGCATACCTAAAACTTACAAGGCTGTATGTTGTAAACATCATTTATAAGTATGTAACATTATTTTGTCACGTATATCACTCCTAATCCATTCTATAATTTCAAGTTTTCATGCGTAAAACACGTCTCTATGAAAATTCTGACCTCGTGAAAGAATTGTGACCTGATTTCATGGCAGAATGCTTCATTTGGTAGTGATTTTCTTTCACCATATTTTAGGGTTGATTCTGAAATCTTGGTAATTAACCTTTAAAATACGGATTACTTACTAAACTCATATTATTTAATAATATAGTTATAAAATTTATATTTAAAAATATAATTAATATCTTAATTTTCAATTTCTCTAGTGAACTAATTAATAATGATTAAATCTTAAACTATGATTAGTTTTCTTTTAATGCGAAAATGTCCACAGCCTATTGCTAGAGTATTCATCAAAAGGTCACCCAATAAAACAAGATATAAAGAGGAAACAATCGGAGTGGCAACTAGACAAACCCGAAACAAGATTAGAGATGTCAACAAGCCGGGCAAGTCGGCTCGCGGCTCGTAGATGGACGGGTCAAGAAATGTTGGAGCTGAGTCGAGCCAAAGCCCGGCCAAAATTTGGAGGCTTGATTCGGGCTTTTGGCTCAAGGTTTGCCAAGTCGAGCAGGTTCACGAATTTTTTAATTTTGTTTTTTAAATTCATGAAATATTCATGTAAAAAAGTCAAACAAATTCTTTTTCTCGACTAAAATACAATAAAAAAAATATTCATATAGATATGAGAATGTATGAACTAGAATACAATTTTCAGGTGTATAAATATCCTGATATTCAATTGTAGAATTAAAAATATTAGAATAGAAAATGTCTTTTACGTTTCAACATTACAAGATAACAAATAATATTATATTAACTCCTATATAATAAAATTTAAAATTTATATTAACAAAATATAATGAGAATACTAATGAATATGATAATAAATTCTAATATAGATAGTTGTAACATAATTATGAATATTAATTATGTAAGCAAATTTATATATAAGTTATACTTTATTGATTTAAATCTTAAATTAAATATTAATAAAACAAAAAAAAATTGAAAATTGGCAACTAGTCGAGCCGGGCCGAGCCTAAGACATGAGCCATTTTCATGAGTTGGCCCGTGCAGCTCGACAAGCCATGAGAAAGTTAAAATTTGAAATTTTTAATTTATGAATCCTTGTCAATGATTTATAATTGGAAACAACATGCTTAGAGTCGGTATTAATTTTATTTATTTTGTCTGATGAGGAGAATTTATTTAGGTTGAATTTTAAATATTTGATTGTTTGCATTGCCATTCAATGTGATTTACTAATTTTTAACCTGAAAATTGACATAATATCTAATTGAGGTACTAGAAATAACGAATTTTGCTTTCTTGCACACATTAGTTTTAAGATATTCTGAATTATGAAGAAAAGTGTTGAGTTTGGAGATAAATTCCTCTTTCGAACAATCTGAATATACAAATATTGACAAAATTACCGTAATGTACAGCGTAACAATAAGATCAATAGGATCAAGAATTTAATTCAATCCCACTGATTTCACGATATTTCTTTAAAACGAATTTGTTGTCTTTACATGTGCTAAAGTGTTCAGCAATCGTTTTTTAGGGTAGAACAAATTTCGTCTCCTATGGAATTAGTACAACAATCTGCAGGGGTTCCAATGAACTCAATGAAGTGTTTTTATTTCGAGAACAATATCAGAGAGAGAAAATCTGCAGGAGTTCCAATGAACTTAATGAAGTGTTTTTATTTCAAGAACAATATCAGAACAAGAGAGAGAGAGAGAGAGAGAGAGAGAGAGAGTGTGTGTGTGTGTGTGTGTGTGTGTGTGTGTGTGTTGGGGGAGGTGCAAGGGAAGGGGGAAGTAAAGAAGGTTTTTGTAGTGAAAATTGTGTAATTATTCTGGTAGTAGGGTAGGCTATTTATAGATTCGTTCTTGACCATTCGAACATCTTTCAAGCCCTTTCAAAATAGTCATCACTATTCAGACAACCCTCCAAATTCGAACAGACAACACCATTCAGTATGAAACACTCATCTTTAAGTCCGTTAACAGACGTCTGTTACGTCGGTTAACAGACGACCCAAACTAGAAAATTACCCGAAAGTAAGCCAATAAAAATTAATTTCATTAAGTACCCAACAATTTGATTAATTACAATTTTGTCCAAAAAGATAATATAGTAAAATAATCCACCTGTACCTGAACAAGAACCGGACTTGAACACGGGCACGTGCTCGTGTCGTATCGAGCCGAGTTTAGCCGATTTGACGGATGGTGATGA